AGTAAGTTGAGTTTGGCACACAGAACAGTTTGAAAACTTTACTATGCTGCTCTGTATAATGACAGAGGAAAAAAGAAGATAAATGTCTCTACAAAACATGTAATAAACATGTTTATAACATGTTTATTACATGTTTATAACCTGCCCCTGGCAGCCCCCTAACAGGTCAGACTGGACACCTGAGGGTCACCAGCAGAACGGACTGAGTGAAATGAGATTAACCAATCAGAGACCAGAACCAGGTAAAAAAACCTCTGAGAAACTGGATTATCTGCTGGTCATTACATAAAAAACATTTATCCAGAAATACTTCAATTAAAACTTTTCTCAGTGAAAACCAGATAAATATTAAACAGATCAAAGAGTATTTATTCCTCTTTTTAATCAGTTTTATTCCATATAAAGTATAAAACAAGGAGGAAACATCAGAATCAGGCCAAGAAGCCGACATGTTGAACCGGTACCAGCAGGTCAGAGGTCAGAGGTCAGTGAAAAGCCTGTTGGGTTCATCTGATCCGTTTTATTCTGATTTTTTGTTTTGGTTATGACTCGTTTTCATTTCCTCATGTCTTCACAACAAGCTGCTCCTGTTAATCAGGTCAGGAATGAAAAGTTTCACTGCATCTCATGGTTGTTATGGTCACAGGCTCCATGAAGCTGCTTTAACCTGCTGGACCAAAACATCTGGAACCAAACGAAGCCCAGCAGGAAGTAGACGGAGCCCGGACAGGTGTGAGTGTGACGGAGCAGACCTACCTGTCATGTCAGCCTTCAGGGCCTCAGCCTGGCTGCTCGGGTGTAAACAGAGAGGAGAAGGAGGTTAGAGACACACAGCAGGACCCCGGCATTCACCTCTTCATCACACCTGCTCCTCTTCCTCCTCACTAAAACATTTAACAGCTCAGATCACATGTCAACATGAAGCCAAGGGGCTCCGGCTACTTCCCGGGTCCAAACCCTAACCAACCACACAGTGAGGCTTCCTAAAGATGAAACTCGTCCTCTCAGCTGTTATTAACTCTGACTATGAGCAGACAGAGAGTCTGACACGACGGGTTTCACCTGGAATCACACCTGGAAGAGGTTCCAGCCCAGTAATTATCCCCTAAATGTAGCAGTATCGATGCTAACCTGACAGCCGCGGAGAGAAGCTAACAGGCTAACGACAAACAAACTGTTTATAAAATCTATTAAAATACAAATTAATAAGCTTGTCTGCCTCTAAACACAGATTAACTCAATATCCAACATCAATGACTGAGAATAAAAGCTGCTGCTGCCTCTGATCACAAATATATGAAGCTATCAACTCATAATGCTAGCTAAGCTAGCTCCAGGCTAACAGCCGAGCAAAACAATCCAGCAGCGGGGAGAAACCTGCTCCTTCCCGGGCCTCCAGAACCTCCAGAACCTCCGGAACCACCGGGGCAGGACACGGAGTCCAACTCACCGCAGGTACTGGGCGCAGAGGTTCATTCTCCCGGGACAAAACCGGTATTTTATACTACGACTGGTCCCGAAGCTAACTCTCCTCCAGGCGCCATAATGTTCCTGTGTGACCTGCAGAGGGCCCGTGGAGCGGGGGCGGAGCAGGGGCGGAGAGCCGGGGGGCCTGCGGGGGCCCGAGTATCAGGTACCGTTTACTATTTAGTGTAAAAAAAAATGACTCAATAAATAAAACACACACAGGTGCTTTGTGGTTCTGTGCTGTTTTGGGAAATTATAATTTGCTTAAATATCATATCAGTCAAAATGAACGATACTAATACATACTGAACACTCATCCTCTCTAAAACCAATGGTCCTCGAGTCACTGCTTGAGTCATTACAGATATAGATGTTTAAGTAGTTGTCAATATCCATACATTTTATGCATTTCTTTATCATTCTTAGCAGAAAATATTTCAGATTGAAATGTTTCTTTCAGGTGGATTTCAGTTTTCACTGCTGCTACTGTTGACATAAACATGGTATCAGGACGTTTCATCCTGGGATGTTAACCGTGATGTTAGAGATTCACTGAAGGGCCAGAAAAAATGTGTAAATCAAAAATCTCCAGTCTGCAGAACCACCTCATATTAAACTGTTCACGTGTTATTTTACAGTAAGAGACTGTAGCTCTGTTCAAAGTACATCATTAGAATCAGGACAGACATCCTGATGTCGTATGGAGACAAACGAACAGTAGTTTGAGGCTTGTCCATTTAAATCTCACACATGTTCACTCAGCAGTGTCTGGAGCTAAACTGACTCCAGTCAGGCTTAAAACCAGAATTAAAAAAGATACTTTGTGAACACAGCCCAGACCTGAGATCAAAGTCACGATGGGGAAGATTTCCAACCTCCAGAAGAGGTTCTGCTTCTGTCCAGCAGGTGGCAGCAGAGGAGCAGCTCTACTGAATCACTTCCTGTGATTCAGTGAAATGAAGACCTGATAGGAGGAGCAGAGTCTGACTGGACAGTGGAGATATTCCTGCTTTTGCACTGAACTCTTTTGAGGAGGAAAATAAAATAAAATGGGGATAAAATCAATGAAAAACTCTTCATGTTTTATTCCACATGTTTGTATCTGTTTCTATGTGTGAAAGGTAAAGGGAGGAGCAACACTGAGCCAACAGATAAAAATGTCATTCTTCCAGAAATGAAAGTGAAAGTTTGTCAGAGTGATTCCTGAATTGCTGTGAAGGAAAACGTCCCTGTTTCCTTTTGAAGACAAACGAAGTTCATGTTTTTCTTCTGGTCCTGGTGAGTTCAGCAGAAAACTGCTTTACAGTCTTTCTACAAACAGCAAACAGGAAGTTTGAGCCTTTTCATCTGGACTCAGATCATCTGAAGGGAAGAGGAAAAACTTCAGGATCATGAAAAAACTGTAACATTTAACAACTTTACACTCATTGTTTTAACTGAAGTTTTCCCTGATCTGTCCTCAGAGTTCAGACATGTCTTCTGGCAGCAGCCTGCGGTCTGAGGATTAGTTTCTGTGCTCCATCTCTCTGGACGTGTTCACTGATCCAGTCAGCACACCATGTGGACACAACTTCTGCAAGACCTGCATCACTCAGCACTGGGATGGAAATGGCCCCTATAAGTGTCCTCTGTGTAATGAGCTTTTCACCCCTAAGCCTGAGCTGAGAGTCAACACCTTCATCAAAGAGATTGTTGATCAGTTCAGACTTAAAGCTCAGCAGGAAGCCAGCAGCAGCTCAGAGCAACAAGCTGCCAAACCAGGAGAAGTTCCCTGTGACGTCTGCACTGGACCCAAACTGAAGGCCCTGAAGTCCTGCATGGTGTGTCTGCTCTCCTACTGCCAGACTCACCTGGAGCCTCACCTGACCGCTCCACGTCTGAAGAAACATCAGCTGATGGAGCCGGTGGAGAACCTGGAGGACAGGATGTGTCTGCAGCACGATAAACCTCTGGAGCTGTTCTGTAGGACCGACCAGACATGCGTCTGCTTGGTCTGCTCTGTTTTTGACCACAAGAACCACGAGTTTGTTCCTCTGAGAGAAGAATCTGAAGGAAAGAAGGCAGAGCTGAGGAAGACGGAGGCTGAAGTTCAGGAGATGATCCAGGAGAGACGACTGAAGATCCAGGAGATCAGAGAGTCGGTGAAGATCAGTAGAGATGCTGCAGACAGAGAGAAAGCAGAAGGTGTTCAGGCCTTCACAGCTCTGATGGAGTCTGCTGAGAGAGGCCTGAAGGAGCTCCTCAAGGAGATCCAAGACAAACAGGAAACTACAGAGAAACAGGCTGAAGACTTCATCAGAGATCTGGAGCAGGAGATCTCTGAGCTGAAGAAGAGGAGCTCTGAGGTGAAGCAGCTCTCACAGGATGAAGATCCCCTCCACCTCCTCCAAAGCTGCTCCTCCCTGAAAGCTGCTCCACCCACCAAGACCTGGACAGAGGTCAGAGTTCATCCACCATACTATGAGGGGACTGTGGTGAAAGCTGTGGTTAAGCTGGAGGAGAAGATTGGGGAGAAGATAAAGGAGCTACTAAAGGCTGAGCTGAAGAGGGTCCAACAGTTTGCAGTGGATGTGACTCTGGATCCTGATGCGGCTCATCCTAACCTCATCCTGTCTGATGATGGGAAACAGGTGAAACTTGGAGATGTGAGGAAGAATCTCCCAGACAATCCAGAGAGATTCTCTAAGTGTGTGAATGTTTTAGGACGACAGAGTTTCTCTTCAGGCAGATTTTACTTTGAGGTTCAGGTTAAAGGAAAGACTGACTGGGATTTAGGAGTGGCCAGAGAGTCCATCAAGAGGAAGGGAACCATCAACCTGAGTCCTAAGAACGGTTTCTGGACTATTTGGTTGAGAAATGGAAATGAGTATTTAGCTCTAGCTGGACCTCCAGTCCGTCTCCATCTCCATCCTGGTCCTCAGAAGGTCGGGGTGTTTGTGGATTATGATCAGGGTCTGGTCTCCTTCTATGATGTAGATGCTGCAGCTCTGATCTACTCCTTTACTGGCTGCTGCTTCAAGGAGAAACTCTACCCGTACTTCAGTCCTTATCTTAATGATGGAGCTAAAAACTCTGATCCTCTGTCCTGTTGGTCAGGATGATGATGATGATGATGACCTATATGGATGAACCTTTGTAATCCACGTGACTCTGCTGGTGTAAAGGTGGCCTGGGAATCGTCCTCAGCAGGTCACGGTTCAGTTTTTCTGTTTCTGATTGATCATAAATCAAATTATTTTCTGCTCAGTTTATTTCCTTGTTCTGCTGATGGTCTCTGATTGTTTCCTTTGTTTCATTATTAAGTTTCAACATGTTGATCAAATTAAAACTGATTATGTTTCTAATAACAGGAACAAAACATTCAGTCTGTTTCTCCCAGTGAGTTTTGGTTCATGTTGGTTTTATCTGAACTTTTAAAAATAAATGTAAATATAACATGTGATGGATGAATAAAGATGTAAAACTGTGGAACTGACTGTTGGATTTATTTTTCATCTTAAAGGTTTTAATATCCATCTTTAAAGTTTTATTACAGAAAGAATATGAATCCCACAACTTCACAATTAAAATAGAGCAGAAACTAAAGATTAATATTCATATTTTCAAAATGTCCTGAAAATAAAAGGAGCTTTTTGTGAAAATCTAAGAATTTCTGGATTCCCAGAATTTTTCTTGGTCAAATAAAAGTTCTTCAGTTTGTCAGGCCTTCAGAGCTGCTGATGACAAAACATTAAAAATAAAGAGAACAAACTTTAACAAGCCCAAGACAGAAAGGAGACATTATCTGGAAAACGACGGAGCTCTGCCAGCAGCAGGTTCTGATGCTGTGGAGCAGTTAGCGTTAGCTTCATCATCCTGATGCTTCAGCTTCATCATCCTGATGCTTTAGCTTCATCATCCTGATGCTTTAGCTTCATCATCCTGATGCGTTAGCTTCATCCTCCTGATGCTTTAGCTTCATCATCCTGATGAGTTAGCTTCATCATCCTGATGCTTTAGCTTCATCATCCTGATGAGTTAGCTTCATCATCCTGATGCTTTAGCTTCATCATCCTGATGCTTCAGCTTCATCATCCTGATGCTTTAGCTTCATCCTCCTGATGCTTTAGCTTCATTATCCTGATGCTTTAGCTTCATCATCCTGATGCTTTAGCTTCATCATCCTGATGCTTTAGCTTCATCATCCTGATGCTTCAGCTTCATCCTCCTGATGCTTTAGCTTCATCATCCTGATGCTTTAGCTTCATCATCCTGATGCGTTAGCTTCATCATCCTGATGCTTTAGCTTCATCATCCTGATGCGTTAGCTTCATCATCCTGATGCTTTAGCTTCATCATCCTGAT